TACTGCACCTGGAAGCCAGAGCTCCCCCTCTACGGCATATTCTGGGGCTGCAAAGAAACTAACCACTTCTGAGGCAGGTGCCATCCTCACTGCCATCCTGATGACTTTGCAGATGTTTTTCAGTTTTCTTGTCTATAGGGTAGAGATCTCAAGGGAGAAATGAGCCCAATGCTGCCTAGCACCTGCCCTGTAGCCACCTCTCAACATCCCTCCTGTTACCTGTGGTGAAGTGAGGCACCTGCCTATCCAAGGTGGCCTAACATAACCCCCACACCATGACCTGACTGAGTGACCCTCACAGGGTACAGAGGCCACAGGGCCCAGCAGGAAGGCAGGCAACATGGCCATGGTGGGGACTCAACTGGGAAGGACCCATTGAAAGAGCATGTTTCAACCCCAGATATTCTGGTGGCCAGGAGATAACTCAGGAGGGGAGAATCTCTCCGCTGAAAGCAGAATTTCACCTTCTCAGCCAGGTCTGGTCTCCTCAACATGACTAGGAGGGCGCTTCTCAGCACTTACTGCTATGCAGAGCTATTTTTAAAATAAAGACAAAGCTAAATAGGCAGCCTGGCCATTAGTGGAGCTGGGGCTACAGCAGCAAGAGACAGCCTGTGGCTTCTAGATCTCAGTGGTCCAGCTACACCCTCAGAAGCCAAGGGTCCACTTTAGCTCCCAGGAGGAGAGACACACAAGTGAGTGCCCCATTCACATATGCAGTAATAGTAACTGTGCTTCCTAAGCCCAGAAGTGGTAGCTTCCTAATGGACACATTCTTGTCCTCACTGCATGCTGGGCACCTGATGCCATTGCGTTATGAGATGCCAGAGCCTGTTCTTCTGCTACAGTGGGGGTAAAGCATGGATAGACAATTGTGGCCCTGTGGATGCCATGATCCAGCTCTAGACAGACCACTTTCAATATTGTCCTTGTTGGAAACTCAGGGCTGCAACTCCACCAGAGTTGGGAAGGCCTTGCATCCACACAGAGTTGAGTTGGAATGGGGCGCTGCAGGGGATCTTAAGAGGCAGACAGCCTCAGACCAAAGGCAGAAGAGGAAAGGGCAAGAGGAGGGGCAGGTGTGAGCTGGAAGACAGGTAATGGAAGAGTACCCCAGTGCAAAGAGCAGGGCCTGAGAAAAGGTCTAGCATGGGTATAGCTAACCTGGGTAGGGTTTAAGTTCAGTGATAAAACATGGGCTTAGCATACCTGAGGCCCTAGGTTAAACCCCTAGTATCCCCAAAAATGTGGCAAAAGAAAAAATTTCAAATAGAGTAAATGAACATGAGCAGACAGGTGGAAAGTAAAGGGAGAGAAAACAATATGACACTCATTTTAGATGAGGATGAACAGACCCTGTATACACCCCAGGTTCAGCCTCCACCTGCCCCAGCAGGCTTCCTGGAAGAGAGGAAGGTAATCAGTGGACATGAGCCAGGAAGCTGATGGCCAAGCCCCATTTGGGGAGCAGCCATTCTGGGGCAAACCAGCCTTGAGTGAACAAATGCCACAGAGAGTGTCATGGGGTCCCCTGACCACTGACCAAGTGCAAGGAATGGGCTTTGCCTCAAAGAACAGCATGTACAACTAAGCCTGATGAAGTTTCTTATTTCAGCTTTAAAAAGTAACCCTTTCCTGATCATGTTTTAATAATAGCCTCTTAAAAATAGCTCCACATGTTAACAGGTTTCCTATTCTCCCACTTTGAAAAAAATGCTTCAAGGTAATCTATGAAGAACTCTTCAGATTAAACATTAGGAAGTTTAGGGCTGGAGGCAGGGCTTGAGTAGTAAAGAGCCTTCTAGCAAGCATAAAGCCATGAGTTCAAATCCCAACACTGCCAAAAAAAATTTATATTGATACTACCTAAGATCATTAAGGCAAAATTGCAAAGAGCACTTCTATTAATACTTCAATGGCTTCTTAAAACAGCATTTCTTAAAATAAACAGTACTGATGGGTGCCAGTGGCTCACACCTATAATCCTAGTTACTTGGGAGGCTGAGAGCAGGAGCTCAAACCTCAGTACCACAAAAAAAAAAAAAAAAAGACTAGGAAGCTTATTCCAGTCATCTTTCTTCCTCTTAGCTTGGAAAGGAGAACTACCTCCTGCATGTTTACATTTTTCATTCTCCTAAACACAATTTGGCTGTTGACCTTTTTCCGGTTATTTTAAACATTTACTTACTGCCTATATTCAGGGGAAGTCTGCATGAGAGGATGGGCACAAAGGGCCCAATGCAGCAGATTAAAAAACTCAATTGTCATTAAAACAGATTAAAATGCTGACAAGCAATGTGTGGGCATTTTCCTGATTGCTATTTACAGGAAGAAACCGCATACATCTTTCAGTGGATTCATTAGTCTCGTCTCAGAGAAATGCTGGGCTAGCCACCTTCAGTGAGATGTCTAAAGTCTTGGCTGATTTATGCAGCTCAAGGACAATCAAGCAAGTCAGGACAATATACTTTTCATAATCCTACAGAGGTAGCAAGTCCCTGTGGTCCCAGCACTGGGGAGTACAGGTCACTTGAGTTTAAGAGTGTGAGATTAGCCTGTGCAACATAACAAGACTCCATCTCAAAAACAAACAAAAAACACTCGCACTCACACCTGTAATCCTAGCTAGCTTACTTGGGAAGATGAGATCGGGAGGATCACAGTTTGAGGCTACCCCAGGCAAATAGTTCACAAGATTCTGTCTCCAAAATAACCAGAGCAAAATGAATTGGAGGTGTGGCTCAAGCAGTAGAGCACCTGGTTTGCAAGTGCAAAGGCCTCAGTTCAAACTTCAGTCCCACCAAAAAAAAAAAAAAAAGGGGGGAAGCAAGTTATAAGCCTTGCTCACTTGCAATTGTGTTGAACAGAAAGTAAAATTGGGCTCTGTCAATATGCCCAGCCGGAGCTTTGATTGTCAACCAGGAAGTACTGCTGGGTCTGTGATGTAACCAGGAAGGATGGCTGGGAAGAAGAGGAGATACAACTCAGATGGATGGAGAGAACTAGATCAGAATGGCCCACTTTGTTGTTCTGGAGAGAAGCAACAAGAAGCCCAGCTTGACTTGTCAACAGTTCAGGGAGATACACAGAGTCCTCTCTTACAACCCACTATGATCCTGGCAAACCACTTACAACCCTGTGCCTCAGTTTCCCCACCTGTAAAATCAGAGAGCTAGACAAAGCAGGTTCCCTATAATCTGGTCTTGCTCTACAGTGCTAGGAACTGGACCCCGGATTGTATCATTTATCTCCAGGGATGGGGTGGACCCAGGAATAGTCTTACCAAGAGATTAGAACCCCAGGAGAAAAGCTCTGTGAAAATGCAGACTCTAGGACCCACTGCTCTCAAGCAGGTCATTGTGCACCTGTCCCTTCAGACTCATCTTCAAAAGACAATAGCAGTGTGGTCCTGAACATAAGTACAAGGTCCAGATTCTGCCACTTTCTGAGTAACTATGGCCAAGGTGGAGCCTCAGCTGACTTGACTAAAATAGAAAGAATACCATTATTCTTTGTGCCTACACTTATTACTTTCTTGTCAAAGATACTGGTGCTTTTTGTGCAAAATTCAGTAACTTGCAAGTGTCACAGGCAGGGTGCAGAGGAAGGAGGTTGCTGGGTACCAAATGTGAAGGCCTGGGAGAGAACACAGTGAGGACCCCTGGGTGTATACAGCAGACCCTCCCTGTTACAAAAGCAGCCACTGTCTATTGCTTCTGTCTGGCTTTGCCTATTCATTCCCAGTCTTTCACACAGCCTGCTCCAGAGGATCCCTGTAAACCCACAGCTCTCTGGAGAGCCGCCAGTCTTCCTCCAGTAACACACAGCCTGCCTTTGTGCTCCCAACAGGATATCAACTTCTAGGGTTATATCATTGTATGTATACTAGAACTACAGTTCTCCATGGAATAAAATATAAGAGAAAAGTAAATAACCACTTGAACTCACATCACTCTGAATAGACTTAAAATACCTTGCAAGAGCTTAATTGTTGGTTCTAATTGATGATTAAGATCAGAAAAAGCAAATTTTACACACTTTCCTTGTTCTCACAATTAAACCCAGGAAACTAGTGTCAATTCAGCAAGGCACAGCCCCTCCCCCACTCTCTATCCGAGAAAGAGCTGAGGCATCTGTGTCCTTCCCTGCTTAAGGTCCGCAGTGTCACCAGAGGAGGATGACTGCTCCACGGGGACAGCAAGGGCTGCCACATGAGGCCTTGCATGGACCGAGGGCTGCAGACCCCAAATCCAGACAGGCTCGCTCAGCGTGGAGAGAGTTGTGGATAGGAGGTAGAGTGTCACGCTCCGCGACTTTACGGAAGGTACTCTGCAATCTAGCCAAAGTCTCTCTCCCTGGCGGTAAGCGTCCCCACCCAGCCGCGGGGGCAACGGGACAGCTGGTCCTGACGTTTGGAGAGATGGGCTCCAGGTGGGGATGTCCTGGGCAAGGATAAAGGGGAAGAAGGGGGTGTCCTGGGTCAACAGAGAGAAGGAAGACAGGGAGGTCCCAGAGGGGCGCGGCCCCCGATCCAGACGACTGAGAGGGCCCTCCGGGTCCAGCAGAAGGTCAAGGAAGAGAAAAGCCCGGGGCCGGCAGAGGGGAGCAAAAGGAGAGGGTTCCGGGTTCGGCAGAGGGGCGTGGAAGGGGAGGACCCGGAGTTCAGCAGAGGAGTGTGCTAGAATAGGGTTCGTGGTCCGGCAGAGAGGTGGGAAAGGAGAGGGCCAGGGGTCCAGCGAAGGGATGCGTTAAAGAAGAGCCCGGGGTCCTGCAGAGGAGCGCGAAAGGACACGGCAGAGGAGCCGGCAGAAGGACACAGCAGGGAGGTCCGAGATTAGGAGGAGGGGCGCGGAAGGAGAGGCCCAGGAGTCAGGCACAGGCGCGAGCGCGTAGGACCCAAGAGGGGAGTCGCGGTCCGGCTCACCGGGTCACCCCCGGGTCGGACGTCGCCCCGGCCGCCTTCCGCGTGCCGCTGGCCACACCCCCGCCCGCCGCCTCACCGGGCTCCCGCCGCGCGCCGACCGAGCCGTCCCTGCGCAGGAGGATGTCCGCCGTGTCCCGGATGCGGCGCCCGCCGCCCGGCGCTCCCCGCAGCCCGCGGCAGCCCTGGAAGCACACGGCCCAGGCCTGCTCCTCGTTGATGGGCTGTTCGTACACCTTCAGCACCTCCTCCAGGGACAGCTCCCACGGCTCGGCCCGCGCCGCGCCCCCCGCGCGCTCCGGGGCCGCCGCGTCGCTGCAGCCGCCCGCCCGGGCCATTGCTACCCATCATCGCCGCCCGCTCGCGCCGCGGGTCTCCATAACAGCCGGACGACGCACCGCCGAGCGCGGGGGCGGGTCCCGCGCCGCCCGCGTGCTTTGTCATCCCGGGCGGCCCCGCCCCGCGCGAGCGGCCGCAGGTGAGGGCGGGGGCCGGCTGGAGAAGGAGGGGCGCACAAAGGCGGGAGGGCTGGGTCGCTTGGAGAGGGTGGGGCGCCCAAAGGGGGAGAAGGTGACGACTGGAGGGAGAGGGGCGCATAGTGTGCGAGGTTGAAAGAATGGGAGGGCGCTGGAGAAGGAGCTGGGGCCCGGGTCGTATGGAGAGGGAGGGGCGCCCTACGGTTGGAGGAGAAGGAGGGGCGCACAAGGGCAGATAGGCTGGGGGGCCTGGTCCAGGAGAGAGAAGGGTGCACAAGGGTGGGAGGGCCAGGTCCCAGGGAGAAGGAGGGGCGCGCAAGGGTGGGAGGGCGGAGAAAAGGAGGTGGCTGGAGAGGGAGGGGCGCCCAACAGTGGGAGGGCTGGGGGAGCAAGGTCCCCGGGAGAGGGAGAAGCGTACTAGGGCGAGGGCTTTGGGGGAAGGCTGGAGAGAGAAGGGCGCGAGGTGGTGAAGGTCTGGGGGCAAGGTCAAGGAAAGAGGGACGCACAAGGGTGGGAAGATTGTGGGGAGCGGGCTGGTGAGGGAAGGACATAACAATGGTGGAAAGGCTGGCAAAGCCAGGTCGTGATGGAGAGGGAGGGATCCCCGAGCTAGGGGCAAGGCAGGATCCTGGTCGCGGGCATTGATGATTCTGGCCTGGGAGTTGGGGGGATAAGCGCTCCCAACCTTGGCGCTCTGGGAAATGCCAGGAGGCTCCCGGAGCTCTCGGTGCTTCCAGGCAGACGGCGCCCACGCCTGGCTCTCACACTATGGGCTGGCATCCATCCGGGGACACACTACGGGATTGTAAGACTTGAGCAGGTTTTACGCTGAGGGGTATGTGAGGGAGTCAGGACTACGTCCGGTCCCCCACCCACAGGCTTGGCTTTGGCAGACAATGCCGGTAGTGGTCTCCGAAGGGCCAAACTGCCAGGTGACATCAGGATGTTGCTATCGGGTGATTGGAATGAGAATGAAGTGGGCCTTCTGGTATGAGGCACTTAATAAATGGCCCTATCTAGCAGGGGAAGTGTGTCTACATTAAACTCTCCAGTGTGTTGGTGACAGTGGGGTAGTGATAACACAGCGCTGCACTTCATCTCTGTCCAGCCACTCAGAGACAGGTGGAGGCAAGCCAGACACAGGGTCAGCTTTGTTGGAGTTGATCCTGAGACCTCAGCCATAGTTGTGCCTGGTCAGAATTATGGGCAAGAAAATTGCAATTGGGTTATAGATGGCAACAAGGCAATGGGTCCCAGGCCTGGCTACTCACCGGAATCACCTCAGGAGCAAAATGCAGATTCCAGCTCAGGGTTGGAGCTCTGACCAAGTCTGGGTTGAAACTTCGGACTCTGAAGTTCACTGGTGATTGTGGACAGCTGAATATGGAAAGTATAACAAGGCAATTTCACTTAATTCGAAGGAGAGTTGGTGTAGGGGGTAGCTGTCACTGAGTCCCATTATCAGATCATTCCTTCTGGATTTTTAGTCTTTAAGCTGAAAAGAATTTGATACAGATGAATGATGCCTAAAGTTTTTTAAGGGCAGAAAAAGCTTTATTATGCATATGAGCAACCCAAAAAGAAAGCACTTTACCCCATCTTCCTGAAGTTTTTATATCAACGTATGGGCAGCTTTCCCATCTTTCTCTGGTTTCTTAAACATACGGGATATAACCAAAGTAAGAAGAGCACTGGTCCTCTGTAGACAGAAACTGGGGAGGTGGGTTTGGGAATTGCAGACATGCCCTGCTCTGAATCCATTCTGCAAATAACTTGGAACTCAGGCTAATCTCCCACCAGATCTTTACCTGTCCCTCTCATGGTTACCAACAAAGAACAAAGAAATTTCAAGGGCTGCCTCTGAAGGGCAACAGCAGGACCCTTCCACTAGGCTTCTTTATGTAGGATCAAGAGCTTAAGGAAAGTCCCTTACTCATACAATGCCTGTCATACAATGCCTGTGTGTGGTGACGGAATTGTCTTGCACTGACATGGCCACTTCCTGATAGGCCCATTCATGGGATGGTTTCTGCTTTTAGAGAAAAAGAGACAGGGAATAAAGACTGATCATAACATCTCACTAGGAAGGTCTCACACCAGCTCATCAGAAGTGGGAGTGATGACTTGAGCTGTAGACTGAGCTGTCCCTCCCCTCCTCTGTGTCAGGAGCCCCTTGGAGCTTTACAGTCAGTCACGTGCAATGAATGGACAGAGTTGGTGGGGTATTTGGGCAGAGGGTAGAAATTACCCTAATGGGAAACTGGATGAGATATAGCAGGGATACCTGCTGTTATGGCTTGAATATAAAGTGTTCACCAAAAAGGTTCATGGGTTGCAGCTTTGGTCCCCAGCTGTTGGATTCAATCATTGAGAGGTGATTAGATCATGGGGGCGCCCACCTAATTGGATTAAACCACTCATGGGCTCTTTTTTGTTGTTGTTTTGTTTTGGTGGCACTGGGGTGTGACTCAGGGCTTCATGCTTGCTAGGCAAGGACTCTACTGCTTGAGCCATGCTTCTAGCCTTGGATTCATTATTTGATAGTATTATTGGGAGGTGGTGGAAACTTTCAGAGTTTGGGCCTACTTGGAGGAAGTAGGTCACAGAGGACAGGTTCCTAGGGACTCTATCTTGTTCTGGGTCCCTGCCTCGGTCCTTCTCTCTGTCTCCCATCTGCCACGAGGTGATCTGCTTTCCTCTCCACATGCTCCCAGCCATGATAGTCCGTATCACTACACACAGGCTCAGAAGCAACAGAGCTGAGTGATCATGGACTGAAATCTCTGAAAACCTGAGTCAAAATAAATTCTTCCTCCTTCAAATTTTTTTTCAGGTATTTTGTCACAACAACAAAAAGCCTAACACACCTTCTCTGTTTCTCTAAGGGCTTTGAACTTTCTTGCTGACCCCCAAGAGTTCAGGATCTCATTTGAGGAGCATGGGCTCCAGCAGCTGCTGGGCTTGTAAAGATCTACTGGTGACTCACACTGGCCTGACCCATGGGTCACCTGTGTAAGGGTATTGTGACCCTTTCACACCTGGCATCATTATTTCAGGAATCCCTGTGTATTTTCCAAGGTACCAAATAGCAAGATTTAGAACACAGGTTTTCACTAAAAAAAAAAAAAAAAAAAAAAAATTTTTTGTAGTACTAGGGATTAAACTCAGCATATATGCTAGGCCAGCATTGTATCACTGAGCTACACCTCCAGCCCTGCTGCTAAAAAATTTTTAAACTTAAGTTCCTACTTATCTCCTGGCTAGGGTTAATTTCCCCAACCATAGCAAAATAAGGAAGCAGAAGTATTGATCAGCTGTTTAGAAACTCATAGAAAGCATTCCTTTCTTTCCTCCCAAGTTATTTACCCACACCTTCCCCCAGAAATGGATCTAAATTGAAAAGGCAGCCTAGCATGTCCTAACAGTGGTTGTGAAGTGAGAAGGATTTTTATCTTGCAGCCTGGAAGCAGTGAGTGACTTTTAGGCCAGAAATCAGAATGGAAGTGGCTTCACTTGAAGACTGATTAAATTGGCCCCTGGCCCGGCAGTTAAGTGAACTGGGTTCTGACCTGGTTGATGTGCTCTCGGTGAGGTGATGAGCTCTGCCACTTAGTAACTTAGTCATAGTCAAGATCACCTTGCCTGGGCTGATGGAGTGGCTCAAGTGGTAGAGTGCCTGCCTAGCAAGCATAAGAGCCCGAGTTCAAACCCAGATATGATACCTCGCAAAGGGAAGGAAAAGAAGGAACAGGTCATCAGCCTTGAACTGCAGGTGGCCAAAGGAGAGAATGATTTGGTGTTTACCACATCTTTGCATCCTTCAATGACACCTTTATCCACATCACTGAAACCATCTGCCACATGACTGGTAAATGAAAGTGATGGCTGACTGAGATGAATCATCCCTATATGCTGCTATGTTGGCTGCCCAGGATGTACAAGGACTGCCCTAAACATTAAACTGCAGGCCATAGGAGGACACAGGGAAAGACCCCTAGACCTGGAGCCCAATCGGTCCTCAAATACCTTGCTCACTCGGGTCTGAAGGTCTGAAGATGGGACAGATTGAGGGTGTACCCTCCCCTCGCTCCCTCCAATAGCACCCTCAAGGAGGGTGCCATGGTCGCTGTCAGTGAACTAGACTTCTGAAATTACATTCTGTTAATAAATTCCCTTTGTGTGAGCTATTTAAAAAGAGAGACAGAGGGCTGGGATGTAGCTTGGTGGTACAGCGCTTGCCTAGCATGCGTGAGGCCCTGGGTTCGATCCCAGCACCAAAACAAGAAAAGACAAAAAAAAAAAAAAGAGAGACAGAGACTCAGCTGACAGGGTGACATGCCTGTAATCCCAGCACTCGGTAGGCTGAGGCAGGAGGATCATGATTTCAAGGCCAGGATAGCCTTAAAAAAAAAAAAAAAGGAAGAAAAAGAAAAGGAATCAGCAGGGAAGTAGGAATTGGTCTAGGTCAATCATTAACCCAAACTGTAAAGCTTTGTACCAAGGCGGTTTCTACATTATGGGATTGCTAGTGCCCTGCTCCTGAAAACATGTTCCTTATACTTAATTTCCAGTAGATTAGGAAATCAGGTGGGGGTGGGTATCAGTGACTGAGCTGCTCTGCTTGGGACAGACTAGAATCATTAGTGCCTAGATTAGTTCACCAGTGCCTGGGTTAGATAATCCCAGTTAGCAAGCTAACATATTTGCAAAGACACTCCCAAAATATTCATTTTACGGTGCAAGCTGTTTGTGCACACGTGTTTACTGAGCACCCAGCCCTGCTGCCTCAGTCTGGGAACAATCCATGAGACACCCAACTAGGACGTCTGTTATTGGGGGAAACCAAGGATACATGAGGGAATACACAGTCCCTGCGTGAGGGTTGCGGTGCTTGGGAGTCCAGCTGGTTTTCT